CCCCAAAACCCCAAAACCCCAAAACCCCAAAACCCCAAAACCCCGTAATCAAATTATTTTATTGAAATAAAATGGCAAGAAGAATCGAGCAAAGTCCCACCATAACAATAGAAGGGATTAGTGAGTCATCAAAAAGACCATATTCAAGCAATTATCACGAAAAGTTTAGTAAACAAGAGATAAATATGATTGGGAAAAAAGGAAGAGAGGAGCTTAAATAAAGTTCTCAATGATGTTCATGGAGGAAAGCCTATATTTGAGTACCCAGTATTGTCATTTGATCGAGAGAATAATCAAGCTAATGTAAGTTTCTTCCAAATTTTCTTATTTTCTATTATCATTTGATTGCTATTTTGACCTTTATAGCTCTCAGTAGATGACTTAAACTCCCACCATACTTCTGTTGGCAAGAAACTGTGGAAGTATCTCAGCAAAGACATTCTGGATAAGTACAAGTCTGTGGAGAAAGTCCATGCAATCAATATTTGCCATAGTCGAAAGAAGTATGAGGAAAGGGAGAAAAGACTCCTTTCTAAGTTTACATATGGCAAATATGTGGAAGAGCTTAGAGAAGAGCATCATATTGATCAGAAGAGGCGTAAGAGTAAAACTATAGATATATTTAAGAACCAAAAATTGGTTCTCCAAGCTGATATATACTTATCAATAGAGATTGCCCAAATTTGGACTTATCCAGGATCAAATACTTAAGCTATATTCATGATTTATTTTCTTAGAATTACTTTTAAGTTCATTAAGTCCTTTCTAAATCTAACCGAGATACTTTAGAGCTCTATAGAAAACGACTTATGTCAAAGAATTTCAGAGAATCAGGATCGATGAAAAGACGTAACTCTAGAAGGGGGAGCATCAACTTAAAGTTCATTGAAGGGTTACATCACCAAAAGGATTCTGAGTCAGGTAGTTCACGAAGACGTGGGCTTAGCAAGGAGTTTGGAAATTCCAAACCTGGAGACAAGGAAAATTCATCAGATAATTTCTCTGATTTTTCAAGAGACCATTCCAAAACTGTAGATGATCCCTTCAATAAGTCTCATCCTAATCCTGAAGAGCTTGAGCAAACTGTTGTAAAGGAACTTGAAGATGAGGATAATATTTCTGATCAATTGAGTCAGAAGAAATTACATAGAAGAAAGTCTCTAAAGAAAAGTAGCTTTAAATTACGAAAGAGTCAGAGCAAAGGCAAGTATGTTTCTTCCTTTTCCAAAGATGCAAGGAGCAAGAAGGACCCTCAAGGGGTGATCAGACTCCAGAAGGCAATATCTGGGGATAAAAAGAAGCATAAATAAGACATCTCCTACAAAAGTGCTGATTCCAAAGGTCAAGAAGCTGAGGAAATAAGTTATTCTATAATCTACAAGATGTAGGGTATCTTAACTCATTAGGCCAGCGGATGAAGATACCTGAGCTTCCGAGGATGGTGTTTATCAAACCTAGAGTTGTATCTTTCAAGAAACGAGAGAGGCCTTGCACGGCTGCAAGCTCTAACAACAGGAGAAGCATTAGTAAAGGAAGTAATAAGTCACACAAGAAGCCACTAAGGTACGCAAAGACGGCTAAGAATGATTATTGGGATGGATACTCTTCCAAAAATATGAGATCAAGGCAAAGCCAAAGCACTTTTGAGAAAAGGTCACAATCCATGAGGAAGAGACTGCATGAAATTGAGAAGGCAATGTTTCCATAATTTTTGAGGGATTCGTGATTTGAGACAATTTTCAATATGATTTTTAATAATTGGGGTTTTGGGGTTTTGGGGTTTTGGGGTTTTGGGG